GCTCGGGCAGGGAGGCCGAGCTGCCCATGGCCGGGCACAGCCCGTCACCTCCTTGGGCCCGGGCCGGCCTTGCTGGGCTTGTGCCACCTCTGTGGCTCGCCTGCCTCCCACCACCGCCAAGAGCCAAGTAACGCCCACGTGGGTTCTCTGGGAAGTATCCAGGAATGCCCCCAGGAAGCACCCCAGGCTCCCCTGCTCCCTCTCTGAAGTATGTTGTTCTCTTATGCTCCAGGCTTTGATGCCAGCTCTTCAGTGTTTCAGGGACACGAGTGTTTCTTCACAGAGTGAGGATGGTCGTTTGGAAGGCACCTCTGGAGAGGTAGCACAGCCCCCTTGCTCAGACAGAGTCACCTGCAGCACGTTGCCCAGGATCATGTCCTCAATCTGAGTGTCTCCAAGTCTGAAGGTTCCACAGATTCACTGGACAACCTGTCTCAGTGCTCAGTCACACTCACAGTAAAAATATTTTTCCTCGTGTTGAGACAGAACTTCACATGTTTCAATTTGTGCCTGTTGCCTCTCGTCCAATCACCAGTATAGGTGAGAACAGCCCAGCTCCATCATCTCTACCCTTTCCCCTGAGATAATTATACACATTGATTAGATCCTCCCTCAGGTCTTGTCCAGCCTGAACAGGCCCAGCTATCTCAGCCTTTCCTCATATAAGGGATGCTCCGAATGCTTAAGCATCTTAGAAGTCCTTCACTGGACTCACTGCAGTAGCTCCATGTCTCTCCTGTACTGGGGAAGCCAGGTCTGGACACGGGACTCCAGATGCAACCTCATGAGGACTGAGCAGAGCTGGAGGACTGCCTTCCTCAGCCCACTAGCAATGCTCTTCCTAACGCAATCCACAATACCATTGGCTTTCTTGGTCACAGGGGCACATTCCTGGCTCTTGGTCAAATTCTCTTACAAACCTTTGGACTTTGTCCACCAGGAGTCTGAGGTCCTTCTCACCACAGCTTGGATTGCATATTTCATTAATCTGTTAGTCAGATCCATTGGCTTTGTCATAGTAAAGTGAGCAGTGCCAGGACACGGTCTCCAGCTCCAGGACACAATCCCTCCTCCTCTGGATGGTCCCTGGCATGGCTTTGACCTAGGTCAACAAAATACTTTTCCGAAAATGCCCGACTACTGGTCTAGGGTCTTGGCATGGCCCATTCCCCAGAGTCATTGTAAAATGAGGCTCCCCTGCTCATGAGGAGGACAGTTTAGCCATATGGATGGATGTAAAACACACCATGGCAGAACATCCTCAGGGCCAGAGAGAGAACAGCCAAAGGCCTGTTCTAGGCCGGTGCTAGCACATATGTACTGTTTTTACTTATATGCAAGCTTGACACCACTGTTTGTGGGAGAAAACAGCTGCTGTTGATCTCTAGGACATGCTTGTTAAAATAGATGTAATAAAATGTTTTTTCAATAAGGTACAAAAGTATATTTTTCATTGGTCACATAAATAATTTGAAATTTAAAAGTTTTTTTTTCTTGCTACTGTGTTAGCACAGACAAGGGTATTTATTTTGAATCAGAAATACTTTATATTATCCTCAAAGTGATGCGGAATACTGGGTGTGGTTTTGGGAATCTTGAAACAGAGCTAGGAAGCTAGATTTGCTGGAAGCTTTTCAAAAGGAAAGAAAATAGTGATTCTATGATCCTTATTTTTTAACTTTGCTTACTAGAACCTGAAAAAAAAAAGATTTCTGTGTCCACACAACCAGGACATCACTTTATGCTGTGATCCCGACTGTAAGATTTGATGTGGTATAATAGAGTTAAAGAAAATATCTACTCTTTTTTCTCATCTACCTTTGCTGGAAAGGTACCTTTAAGGCACATGAGAAATCTGCCTTTATTCTAGTAATATCACTTCTGTTCCTCTAATATAATGGGTGTTACATTAGACAGGAAGATAAATGTTAACAGGAAGAGGAAAAATCCACTGTGAAGAAAGTGAAAGTACTCAAAAACAACCAGGACAGGGAAGATGCAAATTCCCAAAGTTAACTGGGATTAAAATACCATTATTTATTTCATAAAAGTAGAATGCAGTGCAGCCAAAAAAAAGTTGTTTCAGATACTGTTGCATAAGAGTGCTTTCAAAATACAGCGCTGGACGGAAAGAAATAAAGAGGTCACTGTTAGGCTGGGAGAAAGAGGCTGGAAGGAAATTAAGCAAAACAATGAAAACCTATTAAAAACAAAATGAATCTTATTTAATTGTCCAGCTCATTCAGTGGCAAAGAATTTTTCTTTTTATTTTTTTGTCCCCTACAGATGTTAAACAATGATTTTTAGATGGGCATTTTGAGAGAGAAAAGTGCAAGAGGCTACGAGTGGGGTTTTTTTGCATAAAGTTTTGAAACTATAGAGTTCCCATCCTCTAAGCAGGCCCTCTTTCCCCCCCCAGCTCCCCCAAGGAATCATTTGTCAAACCTTCCAAACACATTTTCCTGTTTTGAGAAAAAAAATTGCACATGACTTAGCACTTGAAAGCCAAGAGTCGATAAAATGTTTTTAGAAAGTTTATTCATGAAGTCACAATTCTATTCTGAAATGTTATTTTGCAAAGTGTCTTTTGAGATAACATAGCAACAACTTGGCCAACTGAAGAGAGATTCCATGGCTGAAAGAAAATGTAGCCTTAGATTATTTAGAAGATACATTAGGAAATAAAAAGGAGGTTTTAATTCCTGCTGTGATGTACATTATATGTATATTAATGTATATGTAATGTATAGGTAATAATGTATATATAATGTGTATTACATTACACATATATGCAAAATTGTCGACAAATTACTAAAATACTGTGGTTGTAATAAGAAGAAAAACTTTCAGGTACAACTTGAATTCTTTGCAGGCATCAGCAAATAAACAGTAACTTCAACTCCTTGATATATATAAAAGCAGTGTAGAGATCTGGGAATACAGAGCGACTCCCTTAAACTAATAAACTTTGAATGTGCTGACCTTTAAGTAATTAAAATCTCAACTTCAATGTTTCATTAACATTTGCATTAGTTCCCTTGGCTTTCCTCTCTGAGGCGGCTGCTCAATAAATACAGCGCTATCATCAGGTCTCCGGTGTTCTGTATCATCAAAAAAGCAGATGCTGGAACTTTTTTCTTTGGTTCCAGAGACATAGGGAAAATTCCGAATTCTGGGGAACTTGCAGGAGCAGCTCGGCAGTAAGAAGCGTTTGGAGATGATCATACAGTGAAGGACTGCAGTTGCTTAGATTTGATTTCTGCAAAAGGTGATACTGCAACAAAGAATATTCATATTAAAAATTACGGCATAATCTAAAATATTATTCAAAGTATACAGAAGTGCTATATACTTCTATATAACATCTGCTCCCTGAAAGACAAGCACTTTGCTGTGCTGCTCACAGGACTCTTTCCAAGCCGCTCGCTGCAGCACAAGCTGCTGTGCTGAACGTTTCTCCCCTATATCCCGCATCACCCTGGATTCTCCCTGCATCCCTGCTGCTCCCATTTYCCCGGGCCCTTCCAGGCTTATTCCCGTGCCTATCCGGCCTCTTCCCACAGCCAGGGGCACGGGGGGCTCTTGCAGCAGCCCGGGCCGGCACCGGCCTTGCGAGAGGGGCCCACGGGAGCCCTGGCCGCGCTCGCGGGACCACCCTCATCCCCGGGGCCCGTGGCCGCCCCGCAGGCCGCGCTGGCCCCGGAGCCGCGCGCCGGGACACGGGCCGCAGCGCCGCCCCCGCGCGGGCCGGGCCAGCCCCCGGCCGCAGGGCCCGCCCGCCCGCAGCGCTTTGTTGTGGAGCAGCCGCCCGGGCGGCCCGGCGCGGCGCGGCGCGGCCCGCGGGGAGCAGCGCGCAGGTAACGGGGCGCCCCCGGGTAACGGGGCGCCGCGCTGCGCGGCCGCTCGGGGCGCCCGTTGCGCGAGCTCGGCCCCACTGCGGGCCCCGCCCCCGGCGCCCCTGCCCCGCCGCGTGCTCCGGCGGGCGGCCCGGCCGCTAGCGGCCGTTAACGGCTGCGCAGCACCCCCCTCCCCGCTCCCAACAGCCGCCCCTCGGCGCCGGCCCTGCGCCCCGGGAGCCGCGCACGGCGCTGCCTCCGCGTGCCGGGAGCCCCCGCAGCTTCACGGGGGCTTCGCGGGGACCGCGCAGCCCTGCCAGGAGGCGGCAGCACCGCGCGGGGCGCCGGGCGCCGGGAGGGAGCCCGCCCGAAGGCCGCCTCCGAGGAGGCCGGTGCGGGATCGCTGCTGCCGCCGGCTGGAAACAGGCCCCGGCGGRCGCTCGCAGTGCGTTTGAAAGTTACCAAAATAAAGTTCTTTTGAGCCGCTATGGTTTAAAACGGTTAAGAAGTCCCAACAAGTTCTGTACCGCAGCTTCTAACAGCAGTAAGTTTCTTACCTGCCTGACTTGAATGCGTTACAGGGTGCTGCCTGTAGGCTCGGTCCTCGTAGGCAAAATGTGCACGAGAGCAACAGCCTGGCGGTGCGGGGCAGCTTGAAGAGCAGTGCCTGTTTGATCGGACACGCTGTTGAGGTGCTCGTAGAGCAGCGGTGATGGGGACCCAGGTACCGCTGCAAGGGTTTGGGGTGCTGTGAGCTACACATTGCAGAAGCTGCTGGCCCTTAGTCTGAGAACTGAGAGTGTCCAGCAGCAGGGTGGTTTCTTTTTAATATGTATATGTGTGTGTGAGTGTGTGTACATATATATATATATTCATATGCTGAGAAGGCAGCAGAGCTCTATTAGGGTGGGCTTAAGTTAGTATGGTTTATATGGAAGTTACATGGAGGATGAGTCAGTTAATGATGGAGATACCATTGCTTGCACAGCAAATTACAGGTTTGCAAATTGTGGAGCTTGTGGGAATGTACCCGGAGAACCCTGCGTTAGACTTGCCTTGTATGTGTGTTTGTCCTTGAGCGCCAGTTCTTGGTTGTTGGGAAGATAAAACTCTGATTTAGGCAGAATTCACCAACCTAATGTTCTGTGTCTTTAAGTACACTGGTGCTAACTTTAATATTTCGTTTTTGAAGCTTTTGAAGTTTCTGCAAGAGTTAACATTTTAACTGTTACGGCTTAGTTTTGGGTGCTAGTCTTACCTTCTTTCTTATTTTTATTGCAGTGCACAAAATTCAACCCAAAGCCCTCCTTGTGAAACAGACAGGTGAAACTGAACAGTACAGGAGCAGGATGGTTAGGGGCTCTGCTGCCCTTCAGGGGGGCAGTCATCAGCACCGCCTTCAGCCTCCTGAAAGTGCAAAGGCTTCTCCGGGCCCCCTAGCTAAGGAGAAGTTACTTCAGGGCTAGTTGCGATACAGAAAGGGAAGGCAGGGGCTGGGAGGTAAATAATGTGCACAGGGTTTGAGAAAGCAGGGGTAGCGGCTGCCCTTATTTGGTGGGTTGTAAAGCTCTGGGTCTCTGCTACGGTCCCTGCTGCAGCCTGTCATTAGGAGGGAAGACCCTCCTAGGGTGTCACAGCTGGCTCAGAACTTGGCAAATCTGCCTGCAAAGAGAAGACAGRGTAGCAGAATAGCCATTGCTCTCCAGGATGCTTTTTGGCTAATATTAGATGTTTTGTCTACTTTTCTTCTAAGTGTGCAGACTGGCAGGGCTCCAAACAAAAAATTCATAGTCAGGGAAATTATGTACTCCCATATTTTTCGTAAGGGGTTCCTTCTATATRCACCCTTGGTGTAGTTACTAGTGGTGATGTAACTGTGCTTTTAGCAAGTACTTTGTTTCTTGTTTCCCATTACAGTTTGTAATAGAAACTGTTTTYTTCCAAAGCAGTGGGTAGCAGATGAGATTTAAAAATTTCTACCCCTGCTTTTCACATGATAACTAGTTAGGCTTCTTTCACTGTTTGTTTAGATTCACTTCATTTATCTTGCAGATACTATCCCCAGCACAAGTAACAGAAACATGACGGCTTAAGTAGATGGTGAGCAGATGTCTGTCACAGCACTGTCTGTGTTGTTCAAGATATTCCTCTGTATGTTGCTGAACGTCAACTACCTATGAAAATAGATTCTTATTTATAGGACACCATTATGCTTGGCTGAGCCTCATCAAAGATATTGTCTAACCTATTTCTTGCTTTCCAGAGATGTTAAATCTCAGTGGTTCAGTTGATTATTGGGAAAAATTAATTGTGAAAGTCGAGTTTTATGTTGACCACCAAAACACTTGTGTTGCTTGTTCCTTTTTTTTGTTTGCGCGCCAGTGCTCCTCCAGCACAAGCGTATGGAAAGGAGCTCCCTGGATGAGGGGGGGCTGGCTGAGCTCTCCCTGAGAGTTGGGCAGMAGGTGCTTCTGGGGGTTAGGTAAGAGCAACAGAGTAGTGTGTGTGGGGGGGCATGTGGTCTTGCCTCCCAAAACATCCAACACGTGGCACCACGCTAAACAGGTAATTAAACCTTTTCACATAGGGGCAACTTCTTTTAAAAGAAAATAGCCCTATACATTGTTTTGGGACTTGCCAGCTCACATCTGTACTTACCCTTCAGTATTTAAAGTCTTACTCCGGRATAGGGAAGGGAATCTGCTCAATCGGAGCTGCAGCTGACACTTTGTTGCAGYTGCAGCTCTGCTTGTGTCAACCTGTCACAAAGAGAAGGGAGCCCTTCGCGGATTCATAASAAATAGCTGCTTGTAAGGCTTCACTTTCAGGATGTAGATCATTGTGTCTCTCTTGCGCGCTCCTTTTTCTTTTTCAAAATTTTAAACTTACAATTTAAAAGAAAAAGACTGAATCCCAGCAGAATTAGTGTTTGCCGTTTTTGTTGTGGAAAGCTAGTCCGAAAGTTCACATTGGAAAAAGATATCTAATTCTGATGGTGGTTTGTGTACAATTACAGTTATTATCAAAATGTTGCTCTCTCTTTTAGCAGGGAATAGAATAYTTAAGAATGACTTTTTCCTTATTGGAAAGAAGTCCAGCAGTATTTACRATACAGATGTATGGACTCTAGAATAGCAAACTGGGACACAGATCCAGCTTGCCTTTAACTGGATAGTGAAACTTCCCCTGGTTGAAACAACATGGGATTGTGCTGTAGGTTTGGAAAAAGTAATTGGTAATGAGTTCAGTTCCTGGAGGGCACTAATTTTTGCRTCACAAAATCCATAGTAAATTGAGTTGAGGAAATCCACATAACATGCTGGTAGACAAATGTTATCCTTTCTTTTTATGTAAATCTGTTGAAGATGGAATTTGATCTTTGAGTTATATATTCATTTAAATAGTCATATTCTAGATATACATGCTCTAATTTAAATGTTAAGTGAAAAATCTAATCTGCTTCAGTAATATAGTATTAGGACAAAGAAGGATTAAAATGTTTCGTTATTGATTAGTTCCTTGGAAGAAGCAGGTGGCAGTTCCTTTCAAAATTTGTAGAGCGAGAACATAGTTGTATTTCTATCTGAACTGGTCTGAAAAAGCTCTTATGCTCTATTCAGGGAGCATTTAATGTGGATTCAGATCCGTGTAATTGAAGCAAGCAGACTGAATTTTTAATAGTCTTCTAAAAATACACGGGTCTAGTAACTTATACCTTAAATATCCAACTTAAATATCCTCTTTACAAGTTGACATTCGTATTGCTGGAACAGTTTCCTGGTTGTATGTGTTTGTGAGTGTAGATACGGGTGTTTGTGTGAGAATCTGTTATAGCAGAGCGAGAATTTCAGTCAATTTAACAAGGGGCACTGAGCTTACATTGACTTGATTAAAAGATATAAAGCTTTCCAAAGCATGTTTAATGTCTCCTTTGAGAGCAATGAGCTCTGCTATATGTATCTTCCTGTATTATAGTTCCAAATTTATATTTGACCTCTTCCCTTTGCTAAGTCTAAAGTTGTCAGCAGGGGTCAGCAGAAAACAGAACCATTCTTGCTTCTTAGGTCTGATAGGAAATAAAACTGTAGCATATACTGGTGGTGTCGGTTGTTTTCCCTATGCCTTATACATTAATTTCCAGTTTAGAGGCTAAATTGACCAGCAAAAAGATAGGCTTATTTAGCAGAAAATATCATTTCTGTATGAGTGTAACTAAAGAATGAGAATGATGAGGATAATCAGAAAATTATTCTAAGACATTCTGCTGCCCATTTCAATACTATTAAAAATAGTGATGTCAATTTTTTTTTTTTTTTAGATACTTGGTTTCTTTCAATAGCGATATTTAGTTGTGAGCATGAATGTTATATAAGATTATATATATTTTAAAATGAACAGCTGGACCTGTGACCTCAGAGAGAGGTTAGATGGTGAAATGCATTGAAGGTATTTGTCATATTGCCATGTCCCGACTGGATATTGTCACTCCTGCTTGGTATAGGTTGGATATACTATATGTAACCATCATCAAGTTATTAGTATTGCTTTTACAAAGGCAAAATTAATCTTTTCTCAAGTGCAGCTCTGATTTTTAAAAATTCTTTGAATTACAGTTGGACTGTATGTGTTAATCAGTTATATGAGATGTAGATAAAAGCACAAGAAAGATGGTTTTCCTCATGTGTATCTGTGGTGTGATTGTGTATATATATGTGCAATTACAGCCCTAGAAGCAATCTTGCAATGTCACATCAGAATTTTAGAATATAGCTTCCATATTTAGAAGGGTTCAATGCAATGAACAATTTGGGCTTTGGTGTCTCCCGTTTAATGAAGGAAAAGGCATTATCAGACTTCCAGGAAAATCTCTATGTTGAAAGTTTTCTGACCATCTTTAAAGTAATGCCTATATTTCAGGTCTTACAGTAACTGAAAGGAAAAAAAAAGCTGCCTTTAAAGATAATACTGTCTTTTCTAGCTTTTTATTTTAGATGCATATTCCTACTTAAAACCCAACACTACCTTTTCTTCTTGTAGAGAACAACTGGAAGAGAAGAACCCTTATTTATAGAAGTTCTAATAACCTTCATCTTCTATAGAAGAACCTATAGAGAATATAAATCACAGTTGTTTTTTTTTTTTAAATCAGAAAGAAGTAATAATAATTATGGCTGGAAACTTACTCAGTTTGAGCTATAGGAGCAGAGAGAGTGTTGTATGTGTCCTTAATTTGCCCTCCTCTGGCTTAAAACCCTTGATTCCTTTCCTTTTAACTAGTGAGGTGGCAGGACTTATTTGCTTCCCATCATCGTTTTCTAAGCAGGGAGCTGTTGTGTCACTCCACAGGTTGTCTTCAAGGAAACTGAAGAAAAATTTACCTGCTAATCCTTGGCATCAAAGGAAGGTTATGCAGGTRGGTAGTGGGAACGGCTGCTTTCTTCATCACCTTGCTCAGCAAGAGGAAAACCAAACAGAACTTTTCCTTGTTCTTCAGGATGTCTTATAACCAGACACACCTGGCATACTGTGCCCAGGCTTAAACACTGGGCTGTTCCATTTTCACTGTTTATCCCTGAATGATACAGGATTGGTATGGGCCAAAATGCCTTCAAGTGACACTATCTRTTGAGTTTTGCAAGATTTGTGTGTTTCTGAAAGGCACAATTCTAAGACATTTGTTGGAAGCTTAGACAAATTTTGACAGACACTGTTTTATTTTCCCTGTTAAAGTTAAGGTTTGTTTTCTTACATCATAATTTTATATTTTTGCAGTGCTTGTTTCTTCCTCTTATGATGGGAAAAGGAGCTATTTGTAACATATGGAAAAAAACCCACAAAACACCAGCTACTAGTATGGACTTCATATAAAAGTTATCCTTCAAAATCCTGAATGTGAGAGACTGATTTTAGAAAGGTTTGAATTAGACGTTTAGTTGATTATGGTTCATAAATCAGAATCTCAATGCTTCCTGTATGTTATTTGGAAACTAGGTTGTATCCATTGGGCAGATAAGAATATACTAGCATAAGTGAACCCTTTTAGTTGAACAGCAGCTGAAATAGGCTTTATAAAGAGTAATTTAGAGGCTAGTGAAGTTATCTCCCCAACAGAGCCATAAAAATGTTTTCTGATGTTGATTTTCTTTATTGTGAATAGTATTAGGTAAGTGATACAAGAAAGCCCTTCAGCTTTAAAGCTACTTTCAAACATGTTGCATGACTTTTTTTTCTGTTATGCCTTATTTTTTGCTATTTATCAGGATACTATGAGTTGCTGATAATGTCAGCCATTCAAGATAGGATAAAATTGCATCTTGAATTAGTTAAATATCTCAGTTTACATGACCTGTATGTGAAGAAAACCAAATAGCATTTAATAAAGCTACATTCTTCGCTCTGCTTGCAGTGATATTTATTTTTATTAGACCACAAGAATCTTGAAGTTAAGCTCTTCTCTTTGCACCTGACTGCATATGATGAAAAAGGATGTGATTCCACACCTATATCCTTGTTAATTATAGTCTGTGCTGATGTCATCATTTCTTAAAGAGATACGAGCAGTCCTATAGGTATTTTCAGCTGTACTTCAAAATACATTTTGATTAAATTTTGGGAAATAAAAAGCTCATCTTTAAGAAGTAGAATTTTCTTTTCCTTCGTGTCTTAAGGATGGGAGGGGGGAGAAGCATTTTGTTCTTACTCTGTGATATTAGACAGCTCTTCTACCACTGCAAGTGTAGGATACTTGTCCACTAATATCTTCAGCTAGCATTAAGGGACAAACAAAACTGGAAAAAGGTGGATCAACAGGGCCACAAGTAAAACAGATTGAGCTTCCCGTTCTCCTTCTTTTCCACAGGTGCAAAGGATATTCTGCAGTGCCTGTGCTTTGTTACTCCCCATTCCTGCTTCCTTGCTGCCCCTGGCTGCTGCTTGCTTCCAGGTGTTTCTCATTGAATTTCCTTTATCTCTTACCACTGCCAGCTGTATAAGTAGAGCAAAGGCTATTTCATTTTTCTTCCCTGTTGTTCCTGTGTTCAGTCTTCAAGGTAGCTGCTGATAGCCATAACTGTGTCTTGCAGGACAGAGATGCGGTGTCCGGTGGGCCATTGGGTTGGCCCTTGCTCTCTGGGCATGATTGTAGCTATGTGAGCTGTTGCTGTATGTTGACTTTGGTAAGCTTGTTTAAAACTAGTTTTAACTAGTTCTGCTGTGCTGTGCAGGGTCCAGGCTGTGGACCCTGTTCTGTGGCATGAGTTTGTATGGAACATGGTTGACTGATGAACACAGAGGAACTTGTAGAAGAAAAGAAATATCATGGCGTTTTGCTACCATGTACGGKCTGAAGACAGAGTGAAGTGAATAAGGTGAGAGTGAAAGAGTTGGATTTCRTTAATGCTATATGTAACATGGCAGCAGTTGCCCAATTAACCKTTGAAGTTAGAGGTGCCCTAGCTACATGAGCTGCGGCCACTAGACTGTGGGTGATGACCACTGACTGGCTTCTACTGAAGCATTTCCACTTCTGTATGTTTGAGGAATTCATTTTTCTGAGTAAAGTGAAAATCACCTGTAATTAATATTAAACAATTAACACTTTTTTTTTCCTGAATTACCTCCATTTGCTTATTTGGTGGCTTGAAGGAGGAGCAATGAAGTTTTGCAAGAGGACCAGGAAAGCAGAGTATGTTGATTCTTCTGGGGATTTTCTTTCTAGGGAAAAAATGTGGGCTTTTAGGTCTGTGTTTGGAGATAGATTTTTTTTTTTTTTTTTTTGAGAATGCTGGAGAATTGCTATGCAGATAATTGTTTCTGTATGTGGGTATTTATTGTCGCTAACACTAGATGGAGCCTTGTGCCACCGGCGACCCTGCTGAACGGTGTGTATGGGGAGTACCTGCAGTATGTTTTATTTATGTCATAGTGGAATGTGGTTTTAAAATTAATGTTTTAATACTGAATGCACGAATTAAGGCAGTGACCCCATGTTCAGAGGCTTAGGGCACTGATCCAGGTTAGACTATTGAGGACGTGACCACTTGCTTGAGCAGCCTGGTGCATAAGGCATTTTCCCCTTGAGTGACTTCTGGGGTSATCTCGTAGTTGTTAGAGAAATTTTGACTTCAAACATCGAAAACAGTGTGTGGGAAGCTCTTGAGAGCCCTCTGCTTTGTAAACTTGAAGCTTAAGCTTGGAGGTTGGTTTTGTGTTCTCATATTTTGGGGGCTTGKTTTGTTTTTCTGCTACTGCTAACTGTAGCTACTAATGCTTTTTGCACTATATTTTTGGATATTGAAAACTGTTGGATGGCCCAGTTCACAAAGTCTAAAATCCTCTGAAGCTCATCTTGCATAYTCACAATTTGCACAGTGTAATCCTTGTGATCAAAGCAGAATTATTTTGACTAATTTGTCAAAYTGTGATTAATATTCAAATTGTGATTAGAACTGATTTGTCAATTAGAACTTTTCTGTGATGGTAACCTGTACAGTATTATTGTATAACAAATACACAGCATTTCTTATTTGAACTTCCAAGTGAGTGAAGTTTGCATTTCAAAGCAACGGGAAGGGTGAGTCCCAGCTGTGCTGCTCTAACAACTTTGTACAGTACCTCATATCCCAAAGCTAAAATTGTCATTACTACTGATTGTAAATGTACCTGGAGAGTATRTAGGAGTCCTAAGTTGCAGTCTGAAGTAATTCTGGAAGATTCTTTGGRAATGTTTTCTTTAGGCGAGCTGTGGATAGTCAGCCTCTTTGTACAACTGGGTTAAAATGTCTGATGTGTTCTGAAGTCCATCCGTGAAACAGATGAACAATGTATTTTTTTAAATAGGATGAAAAAAACCCACAAAGGTATGGAGGAAAAATTAGTTAGGGCTAAAAGCTCACACCAGCTTGCAGTTTTGAGGAAAAGAGATCAGATACCTGGCCAAAATATTTGGTAATTTGGAAAACCCCRAACTAACCCTGACAGAGCAATTAGAATTCTGCTATGAAAGTTGATCTTGTGGTGTGGGCTTTACCTTGTAATGTGGAGAGAAATCCCACTAATACTGAAGAAAACACAGAAAAAGTGAAGGTGCTGGAGGAAAGGAGTTAGATGAACATAAAAAGGTCAACTATCTCAACCTGCTTTTCCCCAACTGAAAAATCAAGCGGTTATTGCCTGAATGAGTGATGGAAAAAGCACTAGAGTTTCAAGTGTTTAGTAATAGCTGTGAGCCTTTTTTTCATACATCAGCTCTGTGTGTATGTGTATATATGTGTTTAAACATAATGATGCTAGGGATGTTGTGCAGGACGGTGCAATGGTAGAAGTACTGTGTACCTGAAGCAAGGTGAAATGTGTGGTATTTGGACAAGTGTAAAAGCCAGTATAGTGCCAGAAGCAGAGATACCGGCACAAAAAAAAGAGTATAAAGATTTGTTTTGAGTGTTCATATAGTAATAGTTTTATGCCACTCAAATGTTGTAAATTTAAATACATCTTAAAAAGTTTCAGCCCATGTCTGTGTTAGAGGAGCATGKCCTTTGAAAGGAGACAGAACTGAACTGTTTGAGGAAGAGTGTGAGTAAAAAGGAAAACTTTCAGTAAAACGGAGTAGAGATGAAAAGCTCCACTGCCCTGAAAGTTGCATTCTGAGGACAGTTTACACTTAGATTATCAAGCTCTTCTTTTGCTATTATGAAACGTGAGATGAGTGAAAGTATTAACAGGTTGGGTGTATTAAAAGTTATTGGTGGGGAGAGGGAATATTCAAAACTTCATTTAACTTCTTGGTCTTAACATTTCTTTTTTTTCTAAAAGAAGAATTGTGCCTGCCAATAAATGGAGAACCCCCTGAAAAATAACTGAGGAGCAACCTTTTCATGGCTTGATGCATCAGTAGAATTAGGCCTTTGTCTGCAAAGARTCGAGCCCACCCGTGTGTGCAGCCTGCCCTATGCAGCAACAGCTCTTCATCTGGGAGCCATTCGGATCATAAATAGCACATGAAACATTTGGGAGAGAAATGCAAGAAGTCCTTCATAGTGGAGATTATAATGAGGTCTGATATTTTGACATAGGGAAAAAGGTAGAAATGTGTGACCAGGAATYGTGAGAAGTTTTGTGAAGAACCAGAGCATTTTTAGGTTAAATCTTAACAAAGAGATTCCATTTCATACAATAACAGGCCTAGGAAGTGAAAATGGAGTGTTGCAGGCTATAGAAATAGGCTTTGCTAAGGTTGAGACAGCTGCTTCAACGTGTGGTATGTTGTGACAGGCAAGGGAGAGGTCAAAATGTTTCATTAGTTTAATGAGCTGGGAGGAAAGCRTAGGGCTGCCCTAACTACCAGAGTAGTTAGCAAGGGGCAAGACTGGCACACTTCAGTGAGGGCAGGCAAACCAAAACAGTTACTGAAGGAACTTCCCATTCTGAAGAACCCTGGTAGGAAATGTCCATCTTACTGTGGGCTTTTTGTTGCTGTAAACAACAAAACTGTTGGGGGGGGTAAAAAAAAAAAAAAAAATTGCTCCAAAGGTACCATCCCTGAGTGATGCGAGGAGATAATATAATCTAGTTGGCTTATGGACCATGCATTCTAGTTCTGGTGGAATTCAGAACTGCTCTAGTATCCAGAATTGTCTTTAGCTTCAAAATATCTCAGATAGGTAGCCAAACAATTTAATTCCAGACTATGTTATAAGCAGAATTAATAGTTTTTTTTCACCTGGCTGCTCAGGGCTCCTCAAAGACCTGCTCATGATTGCCTTTAAAGTAAACTGAGATTTCATTTCTATTTATTGTCATTGTTAATCTGTCGCATTAATTGGGGGAAAGAACTTAGTGGAGCTGAGCCCTTTAAAGAACTCGGGCAAAAATGCCACAAATTACATTGTGCAGAGACTTGTGATCYGCTGTATCGATCAGCGATAACGCAGCGACTGGCTGGGAAGGTCTGAGTGGCTTCTGAATGCAAATRGGATGGGGAGGAGGAATACCAGGGCAACTGCACTCTTCTGTGCGAGACTGCTTTGAGGTCCCTGAGGCTTTTATGGCTTAAATATGTCTTAGCTTCTGAGCTCTCTTAGTATCTCTTGCAAGCCTGTGCAGTTTAACACCTCAAAAGCCGGTGTTTGGAAAGGGTCTGGACTTCTTTCTATCTTGCTTTAAAAGGTGAAAGTTCAGGAAGGAGAACACGAGCATCAATACTCGGGATAACTGGTACCTGCCTTTTGCCAGTCCCTGTGGGTGTTTGGGATTCTCAGTTTCAACAGTGGTGATGGCAACAGTCACTGGAAAAAATAGCCATTTGCAGTTGCTTTTAAAACAAAAGTAAATGTTCCACAAACCTCAGTTTTAATACCAGAGAAAGCCACTGTTGGGCACAATACTAGGTTCAGTAAATGCTGATGCTCTTCTAGTGCTCTTTCCAAGGGAACCCCCAATGCTGTGGGGAGCAGTTCAGTGCTTGTGATTTGTGGGTTTGTTTTCAGTTCAATTTGTCTGTGATGTGGTTGCTTTTCCGGCTGAATCTTATTACTGGCCCTTTTCCCTGGGCTTCCCCAGTCCCCACCTGGGACTCCTGTTAACAGGGCTGTTTCCTGAGGCTGTAGCTCTGTCTTGGGAGCGCGTTCCAGGGAGCTGAGCTGAAAGGAGATGTCACTATGGGGATGTGGACCTAGGAAAAGTTCATAGCCATACTAATAATTTCACTGCCCTCTTAGTGAGGTGACAGCTACTGTTGTAAATGCAAGAATATTATACAGGTATGCATAAGCATTCCCCAATGGAGTACCATGCATTTTAGAGTAGTGCTAAGCTTTAATACTCAACATTTAACAGTCATTCAGGCACACAGGTGTGCTACATTTAGTACAAGGCATATTCCAGAATGCCGCTTTTGTACTGGCAATAAAATGCATGCAACATATACTTATAAGCTTGCCCATGCCTAGGAACAGATTTTCTGCTGTGCTCATTACCCCTAATTGTGACAATCTTGCCTAGCAGGGAGGGGAGCTTGCAAAATAAGATAGTCTGACCATATAAGCTGTACTGTCCTTCCAGAGGTGCGATGTGTATTTAATTGTATGTAAAGCAGCTGATTAAGAGGGAAATAGCCTCAATAGCTTATAGAAATTGTTATACTCCAGTGACATTTAGCTGTTTCTGAAATTCAAATGGATTTGGTGGTGGTTTGATTCTCGCTTCCCTTCAGCAGCAGGTTATGCCAAGCGGGCAGTCCCTGCTCTGCTTCCCTGTTTGGCTTCGTCAACGTGCTGCAGTGCAGAGCGACAGCGCTGCTGCTGCTCCAACGTGGCCAGTGCTGCAAGCTCCCTCTGTATAAGGCCCAGATTCCAACTGCGGGGGAAAA